TACATGGGAGCTGGCTCTGAGCGCGTCTGGCTGGCTGTGTGTTTCCTGGACGGGGCCGCCTGTGGATGCATGCTTCTTTTTCTATGTCTGCTTCTGTCTCCTTGAACCCCAGTCGGCCTCAGCAGATGGCCGCTCACACTGAGCCTGGTTCTGCTGGAGGTTTTTTCCTGTTCAAAGGGAGTTTTTCCTCTCCACTGTCGCTACAAGCATGAGTCAATGAGTCGATGCAATCATCTGGTTTTCCTTAGATAGAAAACTTTGAATCAATTTGACTGTGTGATCTGGTGAACTGTAAAGCGCCTTGAGATGGGCTACAGTTTATGATGGCTATCTTTTTCCCTATGAGACTTTATTTCTTCCGCTAAAAACTCTTCAGTTAGAGGCAGATCCAGATCTGCTCCAAGATAGACCTCTACAGGAGACCCTTCCTGTAACATCTACAACATCTCCTGGATAAAGCTGCCCACGATGCACTGCAACATTTAATTTCATAACATGTTTGTGAATAGAAGTGAAAACCTGCATCAGCAGGGCTGTAACTCAGACCAATGTACTGAGGAGCAGTGCAGAGATCCCCAACCTACCAGAACACCAGGGGTTGAACAGCAGGGAAAGCTTTGCCAGCTCCCTCTCCTCCTTCCCCAGCGTCGCAGACAGCCTGTACTCCCCCACTGGAGCGTCAGCTGGGGGAGTTATGCTCAGAGTCAAGGTTCCCATCTCAGCAGCAGAGCTCCTCTCAAGTTCTGCTCTCCACACCGCCTTAGCAGAAGCAGAACGCTGCACCTTGTCTGGGACACCGAAACGTGACATCGTCCCCAGGTTCTCAGACGGATGTTCTCCTAACAAGAGGAACCACAGAATGGGTCAGACAGCGCTCTGTAGCTTAGATCAACTCAACAAAGGATGAAATAAAGGGCCGACCTGTTGCTACGGTCATAGTGAGCTGATCTGAGGTGGGTTTGAAAGCTTGAGCAAGTTTGACGGTCAGTTTGAAACTCTGTCCTCGTCTCACAATCAGCTCCTTGATGGAGATTTCACTGGTGTGGTGATCATTGTTGTTGGTCTCACTGTGCAGGTCGACACCAGTAAACACTGAAAACAGACAAAGACGATGTTAAACTTCAGCTCAGCATACAGAGGGGCCTCCTTAAATAGGGAAGTCTGCAGGAAATACAGAGGTCTCTGCAGCTGATTCCTCTATATAGCTAAATAGGCCTGATCATCCAAAATTCAGACAAACATTAAACCGGAAGACAAAAAC